TAACAGAGTGAGCTCCCGTGATTTGTTCCAGCTTCTGGCAACCTAGCAGTTCGAGAGCATGTAAAAAATGCAAGTAGGAAAATAGGGACCACCTTTGGTAGGAAGGGAACAGCGTTCCGTGCGCTTTTTGCATTGAGTCATGCCGGCCACATGACCACGGAGACGTCTTCGGGCAACGCTGGCTCTTCGGCTTTGAAACGGAGAGGACCACTGTCCCCTAGAGGTGGGAACAACTAGCACATATTGGCGAGGGGAACTTTTATCTTTTTACCTTTACAATTAACCTATTTAGAATTAGGACTGAATACAGAAAGAGAGAGATTACCCAACACAAGGTTTCTATTTAAAAAAAAAAACAAGGCTAAGGGCAAAAAAAAATAAAAATCCACAGAGATCTAGAGGCTAGAGGCTGTCGAAACCAGATTTAGAGGAAGATCAACTGAGATTTCAGATACCAGTTCAAAATGCTAAATCTTTTTAAGCATCCAGATTTTTGTGCCACCTATTTTGTATGCACTCCCTTCACTTGGCATAGCTTTTTCGCTGTTCTCCGATCCAGGGGATTAAAAATGTAAAAAGGCACGCTTTTAAAAAGACTTAAGAGCCGTTTCTCTCCCCACGTTGAGGTCTAGCCACTTGCTTGGAGAGAAGTGAAAATGAAGAGGCAACTTGCACGCTTCATATTAACAGTACACATCAAGCCCACATTAGCTTTCTTAAGCAAATGAGCAGAAAGAAGGTTTAATTCAGCTTCCCGCTGCCCTGATGACAAGGCAGGATCCAAATCTTCCTTTACTCCATGCATACTTTATTTTTTTTTAAAAAACCTTCTTTTTTTCCCCTATAGTTAAATCTCACATTTGATCCGCTTCCTTTTCACTGTTCACTCCTCGATTTTTATCATAATGTATTGCTACAGCAAAAAAATGGCATGCATATTATTATTATTATTATTACTATTATTTTGTTGCCTGTAACACACATTTTTGCTTTAATCTACCGATTTCGCTCAGGCAGTGTCCTAGGGATGACCTGAGGCTGTTGGAGAGAATTTTGGGACATTTCCTCCGTGAGCGGAACTTTAAAAAAAAATACGGGGAATAAAAAAACGGAACCTGGGTAGGAAATTCAGGAGGAGGCATCTCTTAATTTTTTTTTATTCCTGTAAATTCCCTGAAATGGGCTGCACAGGCATGGGCTCCCGTACGATAACCAGAGATAGTTCCCATTTTCTTCACCGCCAGGGAAATATTCAGCCTCTTGAAGCCAAGAAACACCCCACCCCCTAAGCGTGCAACCAGAACAACGACGCAAATTTAACATGGAAATACAAGCACAGGCAAGTCCTCGACTTACAACAGTTCATTTAGGGACCGTTCAAAGTTGCAACGGCACTGAAAAATCTTGTTTTCACACGAACGACCTTTGCGGATCGCGGGAATAAAACTTGGATGCTTCGCAACTGACTCGTATTTACAACCGGTTGCAATGTCCCGGAGTCACGGGATCATCTTTGGCGACCTTCCGACCAGCCAAGTCCACGGGGGATTCACTTAACAACCGTTACTCACTTATGGACGGCAGTAATTCAACAACAGAGGGAAGAAAAGTTGTGAAATGGGGCAAAAACTCCCTTAACAAATTTCTCACCTAACCACGGAGATGTCGGGCTCAATTGTGGTCATAAGTCGAGGACTGCCTGTAGTCCTCCACGTAAGACTACAATTGGGGGGAGGATTTCCGTGGCGGAGCAAGGCAGCTGTTGAATGAGCGGTAGCCTAATTTTACGACCTTTTCCCCACAATTATGATGCAGTTGTTAAGTGAATCGTGCATTCGCTAAGTGAATCTGGCTCCTGCCCCCCATTAATTATGCTTGTCGGAATCCAGCTGAAAGGTCGCCAATGGCCTGGAACGCCACAACTATCCTAAATACTGGTTGCCAAGTGCCCAAAGTTTAATCATATGTGGAGATGCTGCGACGGTCATAAGGGTGAGGACCGGTCATAAGTCACTTTCCCCCCGGCCTGTTGTAACTTTGAACGGTCTCTAAACAGATGTTTATAAGTTGAGGTCCCCCTGTTTTCTATCGTTGTTTTTTGGCTGGGTCCTTTTCCTCCCCCCCAAAGGGCCAATTTTAGTTGTACTGCACATGCGCGCACATGCGTCCCTGGGCGAATCAGCAGTAGTCTCTGCCGGAACCCCCCTCTGCCGCAGAGGGCACCTTTCTCCCTTCTAAAGAGGTGTGGAGAGGGGGGGGCGAGATCCACACCCCCTTCAGAGTTGACCAAACACACTGGGGTGCTGAAGGAGGAGAGGGCGGTTCCTCTCCGGGGGCTGTGGAGGCTTCGTCCCATTGCTGTGGGGCAGGAATGGGGATCGTCAAAATATCTGGCTGAACCGCCTTTGGCTGAGAGTCCGAATACAGTCGAGGCCTCGTGAGCAGTTCTTACAATACGGCTCTTGTTATTGTTAACTATCCTCCCGTGGGAATAAATACCGTATTTACCCATCTAAACCATGCCTGGCTGTTCACTCCGGGTTGCTTTGCACCAGACGCGCGTGGCGGTCGTAATAACAGAAGGGGACCTCGGAGGTCTTCTAGCCCAACCCCCTGCTCAAGCAGGAGACCCTCTCCCATTCCAGGCGAACGGTGGCCCCAATCTCTTCTTGAAAACCTCCAGTGTTGGAGCACCTACAACTTCCGGTAGCAAGGGGGCAGGAGTTGGCAACCTGTGGCTCCGGAGCCGCATGTGGCTCTTTCTTTCCCTCTGCTGCGGCTCCCTGTCCTAAATACAAGCCCAGCGATTGAATTCTAATTACGTAGCCACAACAGCAACCGCTGTTAAGCGTGACCAACGGTCGTAAGCCTCTCTTTCTTTTCCCAGGGATGTTTTAACTATGGTCACTCAACAAACTGTTGCCAATCGAGAAGTACCTCGGCTGTAGTTATTCCCCATCGGAAGGGCTGCAAGAGGAATGTTGGATTGCGAAGTGCAGCCCCAGAGCCCCAGCCTGTGAGTCAGCACAGCCTGAACTGCTGCCAACCTCTCCCAGGCTGGCCAAAGGGGGGGAGAAAAATTGCATTCTTTCTTTTCTCTCCGTCGGAAAAAAACAGGCGTTCCCTGGCTGCTCCGATCCTGGGCACAGGGGCAAAAACACGGGGCCCCGAATGGCCTCGAACGAGGGAGGTGGAACGGGTAGGGCACTGCTGAGATTTCCCAGTTGCTGTGGATGCCTTTGGGGCATAATATTTTGGTACAATTCGGGATCACGATTTGTTCAGCTGATTTGAAGGCCTGGCCTTGGCAGGGTTTGAGCTATTCACGATCTGAGACGCAAGAGGAAACCCCCTCCCCCCCCCAAAAAAAAATTCCCAGCATTTTAAAAAGCTGCAGCGGCCTTGAAAACGCATCGGCCAGAAACCAAAGAGCTTTTTACCAAATGCGTTTAGCCTGCTCAGCTATATTCCTACCCATCATTTGCAGGTTTAAATTCCCTCCGTGCTGCCGGCTTTCAAATTCTTCGTTTGCTGGCAAAGTTCCCCTGATCAGTGTTCTGGCCTGCACAGCAGAGCTGGCCGCAGATTCGGACAGTGAGGAGGGTTGGGGAGGAAGATGGGCCAGTCCTGGAGTCTGGGGAAGGCTGGGATGAGGGCTCTGCGTCGGAGGCAGAGAGGGGACCAGGGACGTCTGACAGTTATCAGCTGCCTTCAGAATCAGACAGCAGTGAGGCAGAGGAACAGCTGGAGCCTGTTCCCAGTGTGNGTGTGGAACTCAAAGGGCACTTTGTGCATGCTCAGAGGACCTGGAGAGACCACGCAAAGCCCTTGAACTAAGGGAACAAAAGAGACCCCTCCCAGCTCCTTGGAGGTGAGCGCAATGGCACTCTGTATATGCTCAGAGGAACTGAAGGCTGGGGTGGGTGGGTGGGTGGAGAGGAGCACAAAGACCGCTGAAGCCTTTGAAGCTCTTGGGCCAAGCAAAACAAAACAGACCCGCCCAGCTCCCTAGAGATGAAAGGGTCCGAAATACAAAGGCACTCTGCATATGCTCAGAGGAACTTTGATCGGGGCTTATTTCCCCCCTCATCACGTGACACCGCAGTCCCAGCACACGCGCTCCCAACTCAAACAGGCGTTCTGCGCATGCTCGGGGGCGGCGGCGCGGCCTGTGGCATGGAAGCGCACAAAGCCGAAAGCACCGCCGCCACGCCTCCTCTTAGGCCCCGCCCACGACGCCTCTGCGCGGCTCCCCGCGTCGCTCTACCCGCCGCTCGTCTCTGTGGTCGGCTCCTTCCGCCTCCCGCGGAAGCCAAGATGGCGGCGCAGGGGAGCGAGGGCGCTTGGTGAGGTGCTGGGTCGCCATGGCGACGGCGGCGGCGCTGGGCTGGTGGGCCTTGGGCCTGGCCGCGCGTCGGGCCCGGCTCCTCCCGGCATCCTCCCCTAGCCTGGAGCCGGCCTTTTCCCGGGCCCTGAGCCTGCGGAACTCGCGGCTGCTGGGTGCGAGGAGGCAGGAGGCAGGCCGGGCTTGCGGGCGCTCCGACCCTCCGGGGAGCGGCGGCCGCATGGAGCCCGTCTGGGCCACCCCGCCTCGCCTGCAGAGGCGCGAGTCCGCGCTGGATCACCTGGCCGGGATCGCCCCGGGAGAAGCGGGGGAGCCGTCTCTGGGGGGGCCGGTCGCCCCGCCCGCCTGCGCCTTCCACGGTAGGCCTCGACCCTTGGGGGGGGGTCCATGGGGGGGTCCCTGAGGCAGGCCTCGCTTCCCCTCTTGGCTCGGAAGGAGAGTTTCCCCAGCCCGTCCTTCTGCAGGCAGTCCTCGACTTACATCCGTTCGTTTAGTGACCGTTCGAAAGTCCCAGGAAACCTTTTCTTTAATCTAGGCAAGAAAGATTACAGGCAGTCCTCCACTTACATCCCTTCGTTTAGTGACCGTTCAACGTTACAACTGCACTAAAAAAACTGACTCAGGACCCTGTTTCACACTTGTGACCGTTGGGCCTTCCCTGTGGTCACGTGTTTACATTCAGATGCTTGGCAACCGACTCATAGTTATGACAGTTGCAGCGTCCCCCCCGTGGTCACGTGATCAAAATCCGGACGCTTGCCAACTGGCTCGTATTTATGACCGTCGCAGGGTCCACGTGGATCCCCTTTTGCGGCCTTCAGGCAAGCAAAGCCAGATTCACTTAACAACCGTGTTCCTGACTCACGAACCGCAGGGATTCGTTTAACAACTGTGGCAAGGAAGGTCGTAAAAAGTTGAGGCAAAACTCACTTTACATCCGCCCCGCTTAGGAACATAAAACTATGGTACTCCATTGTGGCCGCATGTCGGGGGCTGCCTGTAATTCCGATAGTCACGATGAGTGGGCAGTTACTAATTATATATATATGTGTGTGTGTGTGTGTGTGTGTGTNAATTCTCCTGTCAATCAATTTTGTAATTACGTCAATAAATAAGTGGAATGTGGTTTTTTTTTTTCCTGCCCAGGGAATTACAATATCAGGAATTCAGTTCAGTTCAGTTTAATGTAGTTTAGTTTCCAGTTTAATTTTAATTTTTAGTTTATCTCAGTTTTAGGTTAGTTTTGGGTTTGTTTTAATTCAGTCTGGTTTGTATTTAGTTCAGGTTTAGTTCAATTTACTTCAGTTTAGGTTCGGTTCGGTGAGTTTTAGTTCAGTTTGATTTAGTTTGGGATGTGCAGTTTGATCCAAAGGGTCCCAACTATTTATTTATGTACAGGTGCAAAGCATAATCCGAGCACAGCTGGAGAAAAACCCCACTTTTTGGGGAGGGTCCAGCCAGCACCCCACTGCGCATTTTAAACCAGTTTTATCTAATTTCTCTGTGGTTTTTTTTTTTCTTCTTCTCCTCCTTCCAGTTCTCCAGCTGCAGGCATCCCTGAGAGAGAAAAAAGTCTTGCTGAGATTCCAGTTCGGATATCATCATATACTGTAAGTTGGAATCAGACACTACAGTATAGATGATGTACTAACTGGGGCTCCTGGGCCCATCCCTTCAAGATATCCGCTCAAGAAGCAGCTTCACCTTGGATGCAAAAGATATTTCTTTATTTATTTTATTCGTGGGAAGCGTTTTTCATGGGAGAGAGCCAGCAGGAAAAGCAGAGAGCCTCACTCCTTAATATGGACTAGAAGGCTGGGGAGTGGGATTGTCCACCTTTCGTTCTGTCTTCCAATCAGACGCAGGGAGGGAGTTTTTCCCATCAGTTGAAATGCCAGGGGAGCGGAGAGGATTGCTGAGCCCGTCCCCAAGGCAGGAATGAGCAGCTATGGCCCCTTGGAGGACCTGTGGACTTTGACTCCCAGAATTCCTGAGCCAGCCATATTGGCTGGCTCAGGAATTCTGGGAGTGTAAGTCCACAGGTCCTCCAAGCAAACACACACACACACACACAGTGTTAAGGTTATTAATGGTTGGTAGCACATTCAACTAGATGTTTAGTTGGGAAGTATGAAATCTAAATAAATAAAAAAGGTTTGCCAATTGTATNTAAGTCTAACCGCTATTGCTATTGCTATGGGAGTTGAAGTCCACAAATCTTAACGTGGCCCCTGATCTAATTGGTCAGCCAGAGTCAGTCCTGACTGGGAGTCACATAATCAGAGAATTGAACGATGGCCGCCTGGGAAACCTTGGCCAGCAAACTGACCTTTGAACGGGCACACACGGGGGCAAGCAACTTAAGCCTGGCAGGCAAGGATGGACTAGATGGCCTCAGGAGGGCTTGGCAAGGCCGGGCAAGGCAGATCAGGTGCCTGCTGAACCCCAAAGCTGAGGAGAATCAGGCGGGGGCGATCGTGCGAAGTGAAACCAAAGACAGAGAGGGAGACGTAATTCAGGAACAGGTAGTCCTCGAGATACGACCACAATCGAGCCGCCCCACATTTATGTTGCCAAGGGAAACGTTTGCTAAGTGGGGTTTGCCCCATTTTACGACTTTTCCTGCCACGGTTCTTAAGTGAAGCGCTGCATTGGCTCACTTAGTCCCATGGCCGTTAAGTGAATCTGGCTTCCCCACTGACTTGGCTTGTCAGAAGGTCACAGGACACAGCGACGGTCATAAATATGAGTCAGTCTGAATTTTGCCACGTGATGGAGCGCTACGACGGCCGTAAGTGTGAAGAACGGTCATAAGTCACTTTTTTTCTGTGCCGCTGTCACTTGGAACGGTCAGTAAGCGGAACTGTTTTAACTGGAGGACTGCCTGCGGATGAGCAGATTGGGCCTGTGCCCCGTTTCCCCTTAGGATCCCCAAAGGGGCAAATGGCATCAGGGGGCATCCGGGCGCAGTGGAGGCTTGTCTGTGTAGTCCGAGGCCTCCCTGCCCAGCGGTCTGCCTGGGTGGGGTCCCTGATCAGGAGGGGCAGACGGGGAGGAGGGAGGCTGCCCTTATCAGCACCGGACAGGCAGACCGACACCCTCCCTGGGCTGAGTCATCGCAGGGAACCTGACTCGGTTTCCCCATCGGAGTTCTCTAAGAAGCCCCGCCTCCTGTCCCCCCCGTTCCCCCCCCCCCCCTCAATGTCAATGGACAAAACCAAAGACGTTTCCTTCACCGGGAGACTCAGCTCCTGGCCCCGTTTCCAGTGTGTGGCTCATCCCGGCCACACATGCACAATGAAAAGATTAGCACTGATGACGTTGCCTAGTTGGGTCACGAAAGGTCTAGAAGAAAACCACCAGGCTCAGAGATCACCAAGGATGCCACAGTCCTCCTCATCCTCCTCTTTCTCTCCTTCCTCCTCCCTTCTCTTTCTCTTCCTCCTCTCTGCAAACCCCTCTCCCTTCTCTTTCTCCCCTTCCTCCTCCCTCCTTCTTCCTCCTCTTTCTCCCTTCCTCCTCGCTTCTTCCTCCTTCCTCCTCTTTCTCCCCTTCCCCCTCCTCCACTTCCTCCTTCCTTCTCTTTCTCCCCTTCCTCCTCCCTCCTTCTTCCTCCTCTTTCTCCCCTTCCTCCTCC